GGGGGGGGGGGGGGGGGGGGGGGTACGCATAGGGAGACTAGGAACAAGGCCCAACCCAACAGAGCCTTTATGGGGAGTAACATAAGAGGGGGCGGCGTAGCCTACTGACCGTCTGGAAGGGTGCCACCACGTAGCACCTCCCGGCTTCAACAAGACTACCAGTATCGCACGTTCCCTACATGCGCAAGCGACCCACGCGTGCGTGCCTTTACGTCTTGACTCGATAATCCTGAGGTGGTAACTCGTGGAAGATCCGGAAAAACACCATGCATGCACAGCAGTTCCATGCGTATTCATGTCGTTGCATTTCGTAGGCTAGTCTGCGGCTGAGCCCCCGCCTGTGCTTCTAGATTCAAATCTCGTTGCCTACACTGCCGACATATATGATGCCCAAAACGAAAACAGACAAGCATATCCATCGGTGCATCGGGCGGGCTGAGGGCGGGTCGCGTTTGGCTCGCACCTTGTCCAACACATCCCCAAGCACCACTTCGATCGGTCCGTTGCCCATCTCCTCCTTTCGGGGGTAAAACCCATCGAGGTCCCGCACCATCGCTCGAACCTGCCGGCCGTCGAGGCAGATGGGACGGTAATTTCCCATGGATCGGACAATGACGCGCGGGCGAGGTTGGACGACTGGAAAATACCTACTGCCGCATACCAGCACACAACAAACCGAGCCCATTGAGCCCGTCGACACAATCGTCCATACATGGTCATAAAGGGACGACTGGCTATGCAGAGGCAAAGAGTTGGGAGCAACAGATGCCTCAAGTGCTTGTGGTCAAAAAGCGAAGTTTCCTTGGGGCGGTATTTTATTGAAGGCATTTCGGTGGCGGTTGTGACGACGATTTACTCAGTATAAAGCCGTCGCTGGATGAAACGAATTGAACGCAGCGCTGTTCCACGAACACTGATGGTCTGGTGTGTATGTGCGGTCGGGTTGCGTTGTTGCAATAACAACCTGACCAGCCGTCCCCACGTGTAGATCATCGTTTGCACGAAAACCGGCGGGAAGAGGTGTGTTAGAACATGTGTTTGGACCGCAAGAAAACACTGCATCCCAACGGCATACCACGGCGTGTCAATTACTCTAATCTTACCTTGTACCCTTGCTTCGACAGCCTTAGACACACCTTGAGCAATCAAGGGGAGAGAGAAATACGGGCCGCAGGGAAGGCAAGATCATAAATGGAGCGAGAGGGAATGGGATAAAAACGCAAATAAAATAAGGGTGTTTACACGCTTTCTGCACACGGGGTATTATGTATGCTCCAATCGGCACATACGCGATGGCTGGCTCTCTCTGGTCTGGCACATAACATGAACGACCAGGCTCATGTTGTACATGCACGCCAACAATGCCTCCGGAATTGTACGCTTTCTCTCCCGCAAGTCTCACCGGTACACCATCGACACCAACAATGCGGCGACCGCAACCAAAGGGAAGCCTGGCAAACCCGACCTACACTGCAACTCACCAGCTGGCCAACATTTCCCGCGGCGCCAGTAACCAGGACTTGCTGGTCCTTGAGGGGTGGGAGCTGGGGCGGCTTTGGGTTCATCTTGAATCCTTTGCCCAAATGCACTACGCCCAGGATCGACAGCAGCGCCAAGAGATACCGGTACTTGCTCATCGCGAGCTAAAGTGGATGCTCCAGCGTCAACACAAAAACTTCCCACACGCCTGACAGCCAGACTACCACTGTCGAGCAGAGATATATAGAGAGAGAATGCACAGGAGCGCCTCAGTTCGAGTACAGCCTGCCCTTCCTTGCTGGCGATTTGGCGGAGGGTCTGCAGTTTGGACCCTACACTAGGGTAGGTACATGCGGGAGGAACGACTTCGAGTACTCGTGCGGTGCCGCTCCGCTGTCCTGCTCAGAGAGGATCGAGTCGCTTGCCAATCCACTATCCGGGACCAGGGGGCAATGCCTCCCTTCTCGCTCACCCGCTCTCAGTCCGCTTTGTCTTTGGCCGCGCTTGGCGAATATAATATATCTGTGACCGCTACAGCATTGGCCCTCTTGGCTCTCCATGTAACTAATTATGTGGGATCTACAGCAGTGCACCCAAGCACCTTATATTCCGTTTCCCTTCTTTCCCCCAGTCATCGCCAAGACTTTCGATACACCCCCTTCGACTGGGTGGTGCTATCTCGAAGAGGTAATATTTCAGTGATTGCATGCCGTATTAATGTTCTCACCTTTTCTCTCTCTCTCTCTAACGCATCTGTTGGCTTCAAGCTCCCATGCACCCCTACACTGAGTACCTTCGTCCATTGTTGGATGATGGAAACTTGACCGATCGTGTTCTTTTCTCCACTTGCACCCGGACAAGTCAATGCAAGCATGCATATAGACAACACAATAGCAGTTATCATTTTCGTCGTCAACGACCTATCATCCATCGCTCGCAGTCTTGTAGCTTTGCGTCTCTAACCGAAGAGCCGTGTTGTCAACGGGCGCTAAGTAACGTTAGATATTGGGCTTGCCTGAGGTGCGACCCTTGACCGGAGCTTTTCTTCACCAAGGGGGGCAAAAAAACTACTCTGCGGAAGCTCAAATCATGATCCACAGGACAAGGAAAAATAGCATCTGAATTATCTTCCCTGTTCATGGTGAAAACGGAAAACATTCGTCGAGCAGACTATGCACATGCATACAAGATGCACAGACTACAAACGAGAGGCGACGGGTTTGCAGAGACGATGTGGCTCAACCCAGCCATCACCCCCCCATCTTGAAGAGGAGAGAAGGGAGCCGGTCATGACCCATACGCTCCTGACGGAACACGCCATAATCGTTTGGAACGAACAAACGACTCTGGTTGAAAACAAAAACTTGAGATAAATCGAATAATTTTTCTTGCCTTTCGACGATCGTGGTGAGAAGACAAAAATTACAGATGAACCGACGAAAATCAAGCCAACAACATACAATCGAGACACACGAGACAGTAAAACGGTAATTGCCATCTTCGAAAAAGAAAAGAGAATAAGACAGAAAATCGTCACGGATAATGCGAGACAAACCAAAAATGCAGCATATCGGAAGCATACCAAATTCCCAAGGGAATATCCTACAAGCTCAAAACAGGTCAAAGATTCAAAATTTCAGAAAATTTCGATCAAAAGTTTTCAGCAAAAAAACAGAAGCAGTTTTTTCACCTAAACCACACTTGACCCGGAAATGGAGAACCCCGCGACTCTCTCCCGTCTCAAAAGGCCAAGCACCACAAACTGTCCATGATGAACCAACTGTGCGGCAAAAATGATGCAGATGGGAGAAAGAGGCAGCACCGCAGCTGGGCGAGTGCCACGCCCGTTTGACGTCATGCACAAAGAGTCAAACGAGTCGGGCCCACCAACCTCCACTATTCACACAACGTCCCCCGACCCCTCCATCGACAGCGCAACGGAGCTGGACTGAAGTTTTTCCGTCACCACCACGAGTGGCGGCGCTTAAGGTTCAACTTTCTTCTGGATGTAAACCCCGAAACAGCCATGGAACGACAGTCTACCCTACGACCACTTGTTGGACCGATTAGAGGGACACATGAAAAAAAAGAAGACCAGGACACACTACATGCCCGGAAGACTGCAAAACGTTGTGATACACCTCACGACTTGGTAACAGTCACCAAAATACGAACCCACACCTCCTCTATAACAACGCGTTCGACGGCACCGCCGAACTGCATTGCGGTAATTCATAAGCACGAAATTTCTTTAAGCGCTACAAACTGCTGCTGCGATGTCTCAATATATCTCGCTCAAACCAGAGGAAACACACGCACCGTCAGCACCCCGCCCCCAGCACCGAGTCACACCACAATAACAGCAACAATATTTTGACCCAGCTGGACGCGACGGACGGACACCATCGGCACGACAGACGCACTCAAGGCAAAGAAAAAGGCACCCCGCACGATACGCGCCAGGGGGGCATACACTGGGACTGGGAAATAAGCATCACAGGTCGCCACACACCGTGCACAACACATCTATCGTAACTATCGTAGACGGTGGGAAATCATGCACAATTACATCCGCAACGCAGAAAATTACATCCGCAACGCAGAAAACAGCCTTGAGGTCAAACTTGCGAAGTAGAAAACATATCGAGCCAATCGAGCCAATACATTGGTGAGATAAGAGACACACGTGCCCCTTCGCCCCCCCCCCCCCCCCCCCCCCCCCCCCCCCCCCCCCCCCCCCCCCCCCCCCCCCCCCCCCCCCCCCCCCCCCCCCCCCNTTTTTTTTTTTGGGGGGGGGGGGTAATTTTTTTGGTCTGGCTAGAATCTTTTTTCACTTTTTCCTTCGCACAGTCACTACGGTCGACGACAGACCCTTCTGCCGCTTGTGCTGCTGCTTGCCACCGGACCTAAGCTCCGATTTGCTCGTGACCCGTTTGAAGAAATGCTTGGCGCGGACCTCGGACCCCTCCGCGAGGCGGCGCACGATCTGGGTCAACACCATCTGGTCTCCCCCTTCGTGCAGAGATCGGATCGCGATGACCTCTTCGCCCGTCTGGTGGCAGATGCTGGTCAGCGCTAGCTCGTCTTCGTGACCGTGTCCGGAAAGATGCGCCCAGTTCATCGAGACCTCGTAGCTCTGTTTGCCGATTATATCCTGCCAGGCGGGGGACAGGGAAGGGTTGGGCGAAAGGGGCCGTGTAAGGAACGAGGTCGGCAACGCGAGGCAGGCGGGAAAAGTTTGCCTCTGTGTGCATGGTTCTTTCGCTTGTGGCATACACCGCGTCAACAGGCTCGCCAATAGAAAGGCTTGGTCCTTTCGTCTCGCAGCCGAATAAGCGCACTATAGCACCTTCTCAAATACGCCCCCCCCTGCCCCCTCCTCCCCCTTCGCAATCTAGACTTCAGTGGGTTGGCGCTGTTGGCAAAGCGCTGTAAAACACGCCACCCCAAATATAGCCCCCATAGTATGCGCTACCAAAGACGCGTGACGCATGGATGCGTGGAGTGAGGATTGCTTACG